CGATCAAAAGTTCGACTTGACTTGGACCAAAAAAAGCTTGAACCATTTTTACTCGAGCCGAGCTTGCGCCTCAAGTCTTGGCTCATGAGTCGACTCATCTCAATTCATTGACATCTCTAATTTTAATACATTTAATGTGTTATGAAATAATGATTTTTTGGAGAAGATGTGTGGTTAAAATAAGAAAATTTTGATATTTAGTTGTAATATTATTTAATGGAAAAATGTGTAGTTGAAAATGAAATTAAAAAAAATCATATTTTTTGAAACATGGAGTCCAAAGAGGGGTTTAATGAAATCCATAACTTTTGTTAATTTTTGAATTATATATTTTATTCATTTTTATCAAATTTAATTTTTAACTACATTAAACATGAATTTATTTTTTCCTTAAAAAGAAAAGTAGCAAACTTTAGACATTTTTGTTTCCTATTCTTTTCATATTAAAATAAAAAATATGATCGTTATCTATTATATCAAACCACTATATTTGAATTTCTATTTCTTGTTTGAAATTCGTGACGATTATATTTTTCATTCTCATTTTTACATAAATCGAAAACAAACGGGCCTTTGATCTGACCACTTTATACAGTAGTACGCCACCTTGTAGACGTGTATGGTCCCACCAAAATGGTACAAATTATTCAGCACTTGGACCAAGTCCCACAGCAGGACCACCAGAGGGAGTTTATCATGCAATTGACACGTCATCACCACGGGATTTTAGAATCTCAATTGGGTCCTACTTGATACTCTGATTAGCCAATAATGTTCCGAAACTTGAGCGGAATACAGTGCTATTGACAGATATGAGATATCACATTGCATACAACCAGGTTGTACTCTGTACGAGTTGTACCTTTTGATACTGATGAGTGCTGAGACATGAGAGATTCGCCTCTGAAAATCGCATCTACAAACTTCAATTCCATTACCGTGATCGAATTTTTTTTATAGAGAGGATGATCGACTCTCACGATGATGAAGCCCACTTTTTTTGGGACTTCTTTATTCACGGAAGATCCACGACATGTGAGAGAATGTCAAATATTCGGGCAAAAAATTTGGGCAGAGCAGCAAAATGCCTACAAACTTTTGTTTACGAATCACAGTACAGTTACTAGGGAAATTGCACAAGGTCAATACAGGGGGAAATCGCACCTCTTAGGGAACAAAAGTTTGCTTGGACAATGAGGAAGGTGCCTTTGGAAATTTTTTTTAACTCCATCACTTGTAATCTATATTTATTTTTCAATTTAAATTACAGGCTTGTTTAATTTAAAAAATTTATTTGTCAAAGAACAGATTGTACCTTGCCAAACTTCATGAAAAGTAATTAGCCTTCTACTGTCGCAGTTTTGTACCTTCTATATTAGGAAAGCTGGTATTAGTTTCACATGCAACTCATCTTTGTCAGATGTTAAAAGTTATTCGGGATAAAAAAAGGTTAAACCCTAATCTTAAGGGTCCCCCACCACTCCTGCTCTGAAATATCGTGAGGGAGGTAAATCGCAGGTTATGCTTCCAAGGGTACAGGGTGGAAGGTTGCTTGTACACTTGCACTTACCCAAGAGCCAAATCCATATTTCAGGATTCGAACCCTTGACGCAGCAGCCTCAAGCAAAGCTAAATTTCTCCACCCTCCCCTTTTACCACTTGGAGATGTGCCCTGGGGGCAAAAGTTATTCAGGATAAATTTTTACAAAGTATAACTATAAATTATGAATGATTATACCCTTGTTTGAGCCACATTATTTTTCATAAGAATACATTTTTTAATAATATATTGATGACAAATATGTGGTTAAAAAATAAAAACAAGTTCTGAATTTGCATGTAATATTATTTTATCGATTTTGCTAGTGATACATTGGGGTGTACCTAATGGTGTACACCCCACTCACATGAGCTAGGGACCCACTCGAATAAAATATCATTTCTTTCACATGAGTCTCACACCCATGTGAGTGGGGTTTACACCATTCGGTACACCACATTATGTATCACTAGACAAATTCTTATTTTATATAAGAATGTGTGATTGGAATAATGTCAAATCACTATTTATATTTTTCTGAAAGAATGTGAATCAAACAACGCCTATACTTTTGAGGTGCGATATATGAGTGTATATCACTTCATACCAAAAATTATTTAGTGTCACTCGTGGTATCAGGAAAACACCCTAGACCTTAAAATATGGAGGCACTCTAAAATGGGGTACCAAAACCATAGAGACAATATTAAGGAGATTTAAGTAATAATTGTGTAGATATTAGTAGAAGGATGTCTACACAATCATTCTATAAGGATGTACGCGCAATCAATTCTAAGAAGGTGTAACCATATACAAGGGCTAAGAGGGCAGCATTCAGATTAGTGTATACTAAGTAGGACTCATTTTAAAAGCAAGTCAAATCTTGTTCAATGAAAAGAAGGGGGATGGGGGGGCGGGGGGTGATAATCCGAGCAGAACCACCATGTTATCTAAACTGATTTAAATGTACTTGCGATAACAAGAGTAATTATCGATTCATTAATTCATCGATTCCCTTTATGAAGATGCCCTATTACAATGCATAACTTAACGAACAATTTGAAGGAATTAATAAAAAGGTGATCAAATCCCATTATTTGTTGATTATCTTTAGTGGGTTTTGTTGAACATTTATAGTGGAATTTAATCTCTTTCGAAATTATTTGTTTTAGTGGGTTTCGAGAATCATTTATAATTGAATTTAATCGCTTTTGAGATTATTTGTTTGGACACATAGTTGTTGGAGATTTCAATCAAAGATTGAATCTTTAGTGTTTACTTGTAGTGGATTTTGTTGATTAATCATAATTGAATTTAATCTCTATAACTATTTGTTTGGATTCATATTGTTCTTCGTTGATTGTGTTATTCATGAGTATAATTCACGATATCGAATGCCGTGGATGTGGTCGAAATTGAAGTTTTATGATTGGTTAGAGCCGATTTCTTGGCTTATAATACTAACTAGTTCAATTACTGTCAACCATAGTTTGGAATTTGCTATTGATTCTCTTGAGGGATACACTGATAAGGTTCGAGGAATCAAGGTGTGATTGGCTCCAAAGAAGGCAGGGTTGCCTGCACGAGTGTTTGAGAGAAATCACGAAAAAATGCCAGATATCTAGAAGAGCCAGGGTTGCCTGCACGAGTGTTTGAGAGAAATCACGAAAAAATGCCAGATATCTAGAAGAGCCAGGGTTGCCTGCACGAGTGTTTGAGAGAAATCACGAAAAAATGCCAGATATCTAGAAGAGCCAGGGTTGCCTGCACGAGTGTTTGAGAGAAATCACGAAAAAATGCCAGATATCTAGAAATCTCCGAAGTTTATAAAATCAGAAATATTGTTTGCACAGCACATAAAATGTAAATTTTTACAGCCCTCTCACGGAGGTGGAGCCCGTGATTAAAATAATGTTGGGCTCCACCTCCTACAATTATACTATTTGTACATTACTTTTTTCACATCAATTTTCACACTCCTGTCACAAAAGTGGGGTCCACGATTATTTTAATCGTGAACCCCACCCACTAGCATGTGTGTGTGTTGTGAAAATTGATATGAAAAAAGGTGTATAAGTAGAATGGTCCCACCTCCTATATGTGAGAGGATTGTCAAAAATGATGTATATGGTGCCGTAGCAACTTTCTTATAAAATCAAATAATATTATATTCAAGTTTAATCAAATTTTCATTAATTTCTTACGAGTTGTTCGTTGCGCTCATCTACATGTGCTTTGTCAGATGGGACCTACAACGTTAAAATGATTGACAGTGGTTAACTTGAAATGGACCTGATATTTAAATGATCTAAATAATAATAATAATAATAATAAATAAAAAACACTTTGGATTTTGTTGAAACTTCCGTGACCTCCAATGGTTTTTACCATAGTCTAGTTGTCTTTGATCTTGTCAGTTATCAATTTTTTGAAAAAGAGCCATAAAAATAAAAAAAAAAAAAAAAAAATCAGTTTTGCTTTACCGGAGGCGTTAAATGACTTCCACATAAAGAAAATTAGAATATCTTTACATTGCAATCTTATATTATTATCTAGATTATCAGTAGATTCTTATAGGATAAATATATTAACATCACTTTTTTTTTTTTAATAAGCAAACCACAATTTAATTGTATGAAATGTTCTTAATCTTTAGTTATTGTCACACTTATGTCCCCAACTTTTTTCATTGCATTCGTTTCTTGAGTTTTTCATTAATTATAGTATATCTTGTCATCGATTACAATTTCTATCATAAATTTTGTTGAGAGGGAATAAAAGAATTATTTACCCCTCGTGCATTTAATAAGCAAAAAAAATCAAAATTATGATTAATACTCGTCCATCGTTTTAAAGCACAATATCAATTTTTTTGGATGAAAATCGCTAATTGATGAAATGTTAATGATAAGAATGTTATTAAGAGACTACGTCAATATAACAACGAATAAATTTTATAAAAAAAAATGTGTTGCAGATATAAATACCCATTCTTTTATTTTAATTTGTTCATTAAGATAGTCTTAAAAGTTTATTACGAGCCCTTCATGACACAACATTCAAAAAGTCAAAAGTTGTTCGTGAGACTAAAACTTCGTTTTTATCCATATTTGGATAAATTTTTAGAAATATTTTGTCTAACTAGCAAATAATAATAATAATAAAATAAAAGTATTAATTTTATCAAATGGGCCCTTCATTTCCACTCACGCAAAGCAATTTGGGGTATAAAACAAATGTCATAAAAATCATTTATGAACAATTTCCAAAAAAACATTTCTTTCCACTGAAGTTCGAGCAAATGAAAATTTGTTTGCAAAGTCAAATGCATATCATGTGCTGAAAATGTACAACACACATCTTATAAATTTTATTAGCTTAACATTAACGGTCAAGATGAGTTTAATGTGCATAGAAACATCAAACGGAGGGTCGAGGTTACTTAAAACCACTCCAACAAAACTTTAGACGCCTTGAAAGATGAAATACATGCTACCTGCCTATCATTCTAGTCTATATGCAAAGTTCCACGTCCGATTATCACATGCGTATCCGTATTGTGTCGCTAATCACTAAAGGCAGAATTTTAAAAAACTGAGAGATTGGTATCTTTTGATATATTGTTGGGTTGAATATGTTCTGGCAATCACAATCATTGTCCACGCACACAGCTTTTGCTTCAACTGAGTAGTTTCTTTGTCTCTTTCCAGGGTACTTTTGTGTAATTTTCTGAATCTTTGGCTCTGTCTATCAATTTTTGCATCTGGGTTTTTTTGAATTTTTGGGGGAAAATGGTTGTGGAGGAAATCAGAGGAAAAAGTGGGGGTGAGAACGGAAATTATGACAATTTCCCAGTGGGTATGCGTGTTCTTGCGGTTGATGATGATCCAACTTGCTTGAGGTTATTGGAAACTCTACTTAGAAAATGCCAGTATCATGGTATGTTTTTACCCTTTTTTGCCTAATTTATTTAGTTTTATGTCTTCTTTTCGTCGGTTTGTTGATTGGTGTTATAGGTTTATGGTAAATTGTTTGACCTACTGTTCTTCCAAGTTTTAAGGGATTTCTGAGAGTTGTCGTCTGTTCAACCACACATGGTTTGACTTGAATTAATTCAAAAATAAATTGTTCGTTCATTTCGAGATTCTGTTTCTAGCTTAATTGTTCTATTACTTCAATAGATCTTAGATTTTAAATTGGGGGTGTTGAATTATAGTTCAGAATTCCAAAACATCGTGTTATGAATTGTTAGGGTTCTGTGATCCAATTGGAAATTTTAGTTTATTGAACATTTAGAGGTCTTGGTTATGATTTTGTGGGTTCTTTGCTTGTGAGTACTTATGGACTCAATCCATTTTGGGACCTTTGTTATCGATTTTTACCTGATATAAGTAAATATTTTCTTCAATGAATTTGAGTGAGCAAGAACGGGCGCCTATTCTCTGTACTTTATCCTTAATCCGTTCTTAGATTTTTTAGTTATATTTATCTAATGCTGTTGTCCTCCATGAGAATCTGTTAGCTATGTGGACCAAAATAAGAGAAAATAGAAAATGCAGTTGGATCTCACCCTGAGTGCTTGTACTTAGTTTAGTTGTGATCTAAGGCAGTATTACTTTTCCTTTTAATTTGATATAGGTTGCACTTTTGTAGTTTTTTCTGGTTTGTGTAGAAGTACAGTTAGAGCTCTGAAGCTTACCCTCGGCAATTGATCTTTCTCCCATGGTTCCAAGTATTGCACTAATTTTCTGACGGATTTTGATACTCTTTGTTTTCGTAATGTGAAATTTATCTTTTTCTTTATATGCCCTTTTTGATAGGACTATGGGAGTGGTAATAATTTTGAATCTTGATTCATGTTGAATAATTTCTGAGTACAGATTAGAGATCATGTTTATTTATGGGAACCTTTGAATGGATCTTCACCAGCAACATTTTTTTTTTCCTCCTGTAAATGGTTTGTTGTCTTTGCAGTTACAGTGAAGAGCCAGGCAAGGGAGGCACTGCAGATTTTGAGAGAAAACAAAGACAGATTTGACCTGGTAATCAGTGATGTACATATGCCGGACATGGATGGTTTTAAGCTTCTGGAGCTTGTTGGCCTTGAAATGGATCTTCCTGTCATCAGTAAGTTTTCATGCCTTGGTCTCCATTAAAATTCATTGATATTTTTTCTGTTCTTTTCGCATGAATGTCATGTTTGCATCTACCTAAAGAGTAAAGCAAGTTAGAAGAGGGAGGGAATGAACAACGTTAGTATGGCATGTTGTAGTTGCTAAGGATCTATTTACTTTAGATCGCTCAGTAATTTAGCAATGAACAAAACGGAACGATGCACAAGGATTATGTAACTGGCCCAAGATTTACTGGGAACAAGGCTTAATTTATTGTTGTTGGATCTTTTGGCATGAATATACAAGATTATTGAGTCCATTTATGCTACAATTTCTCTTTTAGGCTTTGAGTTTTGCATCTAAGCTTGAAAAATTTGTTGATTCGTCACATGGCATACGTGAGCCCACCTTCGAAAGTTTATTTGACACGTTTATCTTGTCCCAGTGCTGTCTGCAAATAGTGATCCCAAACTTGTCATGAAAGGGGTTACTCATGGTGCTTGTGATTATTTGGTGAAACCCATCCGAATTGAGGAGCTGAGGAATATATGGCAACATGTAATCAGGAGAAAAAAGTTTGACTCCGGCAAGCAGAACAAATGTACCGATCAAATCAATAATTGTCAAGCAAGTGGACAAGGTCAAATGTCTCTAATGACAGGCACTGTGGATCAGAACGGGAAATTTAATAGAAAGAGGAAAGATGACGATGATGAGAGTGAAGACAATGGAGATGAAAATGAAGACCCTGCTACACAGAAGAAGCCTAGAGTAGTCTGGTCTATAGAGCTTCATAGGAAATTTGTTGCAGCTGTGAATCAATTGGGCATTGAAAGTAAGTTCTTCTACTTCTGTACTTTCCATGCACGTGGATTTCATTCACTTGTGTTGATTCTGATATTTTCTCTTTCTTTTTGCTGTTTCTCATAGCAGAAGCTGTTCCTAAAAGAATACTCGACATGATGAATGTCGAAGGGCTCACCCGGGAAAATGTAGCTAGTCATCTCCAGGCACGAATTCATCCTTCTCAGCTTGTCATTTCCCATGCCTTACTGAATGTTATTTCATCTGTTGTGAAATATCATGGACTAGGAATTTATTAGCCCATATAATATCCTGAGTCCGGTATTGAAGTGGATAAATATTGTCTGGATTTAGGATTGTTAAATTGTTTGGCATGTTTTTTCAATGATTTAAACCATAATTCCAAAGCATTTTTTTTTTTTTAGCAAAAATGGCGGCATGCTGATATATCACTCTTTTCATATATCTTGATGCAACTTTGCATGCCCAAAGAAGAATGTATGTTGTGAAAGTGATGGGTTGGATATTGTGGGTGTATATAGCCAGAATTCGTTCTCTTTATTATTGGGAAGAACCTATAAAAAAATGAAAAGGATCCTCATAAAGAGAACCATCATCTGATGAACTGGGACATCAATGATGAGATTATACCATCCATTTTTCTTAGGTGTCATTAATTGGGAGTAAGAAGTAAGTTTATCATTTTTTTAACTTAATGAATAGATTGTTCTCTGTTGCAGAAGTATAGGCTTTACCTGAAAAGGATCAGTTCAGTCGCAACCCAGCAAGCAAACATGGCTGCAGCACTGGGGATTAAGGATTCCCCTTTTGTGCGTATGAGTTCACTAGACCGGCTTGGAGATTTTCGAAATTTGGCTGGATCAGGAAGATTTGCAAATACTGCTTTATCACCTTATTCAGCAAATGGCATGCTTGGTAGACTAAATAGCCCTGGTGGTGTTAACCTTCATAATCTTACTTCATCTGCACTAATCCAACCAAATCATGCACAAAACTTGAGCAACTCCATGAGTAATGCGGGGAAATTTCATCCAGTTATAACACCTGGAAGTCAAAATGGCAGTTTATTTCAAGGATCATTGGAAATGGACCAGTTACAAAAGAATAAGTGCACTACAGAAATCACAAACTTCAATTCTATGGATGATTCAAGAATGTTTACAGCTGCCAGCGCATTCACGAATACTGGAGAAGCAATTGGTAGTTCAAGCAACTATTTAAATGGTGACCCAAATAATCTTATGATGTTACATGGTAACTCCCAGCAAGCACTGAGCGGAGGATTTGGAAATCAGTCTTCTCTCAACATGGCCTCATTTAATGCAGAATCCTTAAATGGTGGTGTTGGTCAATCCTCCAATTTTCTGGATCATGGTAAATTTAATGAGACCTGGCAGACAATTCAACTGCCTAAGGTGCAGTCAAATACTTTATTCTCTGCTGAGCATTTACAGGATCAGTTGCCTCTCAATACTGTAAGAGACAACAATTCTTCAAACAGTCCTCATTTACAGAACAACCCTCTTGATATTTCTTCCACCACCATGGCTTCACGACCTCTTGAGGATTCAAGAGGAGAGATTCAATTTCAAGAAGGATTGGTTGGTCAAAACTCGGACACTATTTTTGGTTCCTTCGACTTTAATATTCCTGCCAATGGAAATCTGCCTCCCTCGAGCAAGAGTTTGGACCAAAGTACTGGAATCTTCAACAGAAAGATGGAAATGGTCGTAAATAGTAGGTTGCCTGGAGGTGCTTCTACTCTTATGCAGCGGAATGAGATTGAACAATCAAATACTGACTCTAGAAGGTCTAACGAGAACTTTCTTTTGGAGCAAGCAAAGCTGCAAGGTGGTTTTGTTTCTCAAAGTTACGGTTCATTGGATGATTTAGTGAATGCAGTGGTCAAACGGGTATGATACACTTGCAAGCCTTGTCTCTCTCATTTCTTGCTATTTTTCTATAATTTCCTGTAAAGAAAAGATGCTTTTAAATGAATGTTTTTCAATATTCAGTTGAAAGATGTGAACTCGGTTTTATTGTTTGATGGTTAACACAATCTTGTGCCAAATATGGAAGGCTCATATTTTGTAAAAGATATTGTTAAGCTGTGTCCTGATAAATTTATGGGGAAACATCATGTAACTTGCAAAAGAATGAAGTATAATTTTGACCGAATTGCATTCTTCATACTATGAGGAGTTAGATAAGTTTTTTTTGGTAGGAAGTCTTTTTATTTACTTCTAGCAATGCAAGGATGCTTTAATTTTGAAATGTGTACTGATTGGGATATTTTCATCTCAAGAATGAGCAGAGAAATGCAGAATGCAAAACCCTTTAGCATGAAAAATTGGTCATTCTTGAAAGAGTAGAAAATATGAGTTATGTTCTGGATGTAATTCTCTGAAACAAAATGCTGATATACCTTTGTTGACAGCCAATAAGAACAGGTGCTCCACATTGGTAACTCTTATTGAGCAAATCATCATTAATGATTTGTACTTTCACAATGGATATTTTGATGATATCTTAGAGGTTAAATAATTAATTTATTCTTGCTCAAGCAGTTTGCTGAATGAAGGGGTGAAAATATTTCATCAATGACTTGATAGTTAATATTTTAAAATATATGGATTGTGGGTAGGGTAGGGTATTTTAATAACATGGCTGTGATGAGTGCAATTTATGTCATCCAAATACATCTGTTTGCTCATCTCTCTCTCTCTCTCTTTAATAAAAACTGGTCCAATAGTGATTTAGTCCAATAGTGATTTAGACTGAGGAGTGCTTGGCGTGTGCTCCTAATAAGTTTAATATGGTAATGGTCTTAGACTAATGTAAACTTTATTTATGTTTTTTCTTCACACGTGCCTGTCTTTTCATCCTTATTGATTCTGTCGACTTTTATTATACACTTGAGCATCAGGATGATCCTCAATCATGCGATCGTGAAGGTCCTTCTTCCCTATATTTGTGGCATTTCATATAAGACAGTTCCAATACATTACAGTTGTCTTGCTTTTAAGTTCATATTAATATTTTTATACACCTTCATTCAAGGATTGTATTCTGTTGGTTTGTAGGAACAAGACGGAAACATATCAGATGGCAATTTCGGGTTTGATGATTACTCGTTTGGACCAGGAATATGAAGCTTCATTGGCAACTAGTTTATGTGAAAAGTAGAGTTTCCAAATCCATCTTTTCTTCCAAAACTTTTTTAGTTGTTGAATTAGTTGCAACTTTGTAATTACAATAGCTTGTTAGCTGTTGCTTGTTTTCTTGAAGAACACTTTGTTAGTTGTCCTATAAACTATGCATGAGTAACTAAAAAATCTGGGATATTTCTTTTGGCCTATATCTGTGCTTCCTTTGTAGTTGTTGTCCCATTACTCTTGTTGATGGGGGAAATTGTCTTAACTTGTTTGGCCAATGTCGATTGAACTGGACAAGACCCTTCTGATGGATGGTGTGTTTATCTTCTTCGTCGTGATATTGTTTGCGAAACAAACACAGATTAGCCTTTCGGATGCCAGAAGCTGGCAAGGCGGCCATTTCAACTTTGATGGTCGAGTTAGACCAATATCGGTGAGAGGGAAAGACATTGTATAACTTGTAATGACCATTTTCCCTTTTTATTTATTTTATTTTATTTTTACGCAAAGGGTCTTTTTTTGTCAATGTTTTTTTAATTGATTGAGACATGTTTTCAATAAATTTCTAAACAATTATCGTAGTTTATTACCTTATTACATAAACTATCATTTTGTCATTAGACAGTTTAACCTATTTATAAATAATTATTTTATCAAGAAGAGTTGTTGCTTCTCGTAGAATTATGCTTCTCAAAAGAGGGAAACAATTAAAAGCACCTTTAGAAAATTATTAAAACATGTTTAAAAATAAAATTTTAAATTGTAGAAGACTTTTTAGAAGCCCTGTCAAACAAATCATTTATCTTCTTTCAAATAAGAGTATGCCTTTATCATTTTTCTTTAATCAATTTTTATTATTTCAAATTATCTTTCTCTTTTACAAATTTTCGACCATGTTCGTCTCAAGTTCGAGTTCACCCAAAAGTATGTATTCATGTGTAGCATATTAAAAGTAATAAATATTAAGAACACTTCTGCCAAAAATTTCAACTGTTGGCTTTGTGAGGGCTGTCATTGTCGACGCTTGTCAATGATCATTTGAATTGACAATTAATATGGGTGGGAAAATGACAGAATTGTCCATCCATATTTTTATACTGATACGAAATGAAGGATTGAAATGGTAATTGATACAATCAAATCACGATGGGACGGATGCTGTGAGTCTTTTTTTCGTAGGAAGTGAGCCCATTTCAAAATAAAAAAAAAATGAATTCTTTGCGCAAAAAATGGCAATCGAATAGGCGCTTAGAATATGAATCTTCTGTATTTCAAGGATGAAATATTGTTTTTATTTTGATTTATAATCTTTAAATAAAAAGAAGAATATTTCATGAAAACCTAAAAAATGCTACCTTAATGGTCTGAATAAAAAGGCTCTTTAAGAAATTTCCACATTTACACGAGTTAAATGTTTGATTGGCCATTGAACTTTGATACATGTCATGGTTTACTCACCGTCCTTTGAAACTTGTCTCAGTGGTCATTCAACTTTGTTCCGCCCAGCTCCATTGGCCACTGGATGGAAAACGCCAGTGAACGCGCACACGTGGCCGACGGCAATTTGACATGTCACGTTAAATTGAAAATTACTGCCATGTAAACGTCGAATAAGCAGTGCCTAACACGTCTTTATCTAACAAACACATTTAAAGTCTTCGAAATTGCCATTTTTTCCCAGCCCCTAAAACACGTCTTCTCCAACCCCATTGAAGCCCTAACCCCTAAACGGTACTACCCCACGCGAAGGCCCCTCGAGCACGAATCAATGCAAAGTGTTGCAACGAGGAGGGCTTGCACATGGAGGGACCACTAGAAAGTAATTGAAAATCATATTTTCCATTATTTCCATGAATGTGGACAACGAGAACCCGACAAATGAGCAAATTTAATATGTTGTTCAAATTTACATTTAAGCATTGAAATCATAAATTTTTGTATCTTCCTCTGTATTTTGATGAATATGCTTCATGATTTCAACTACATGATTCTGAAAGGCCCTTTACCAATTTCCATAAAATCGGAATGTACTGTGACAGAACACATAAATATATATAATTTGAGAAAAGCTTTTTCATACCATACATATATATAATCTGAAAATATTTATGATTAATTTGCCTCCAGTCTTGTGTTCGTAGTATGTATTTCCATACGTGAATTATAATTTCCTAATTGCTTGTGGTGTATATGTATGTGACAATGTTGGAGGATGATTCAGACTTCGTTGATTCTGAGACGGATGTGGAGGATGAAGACGACACACTGTATGACCAAAACGTGACTGATGGAATCGAGATGGGGTTGGATGGCCATGATCAAGTTCAAGATGAACGGGGAGAGGGCAACGATATGGAAGTAGACGACTTGGAATATCCGACGGAGGAGTTATTGTCACAATGCTCATTAGATGACGAGAGTGGGTTTCGATTTCCTCAATTTTTTGCTGAGACCGATATGAAAAACCCACAATTTGAGGTAGGTCAGATTTTTAGCTCAGCAGTTGAGTTCAGGGACGCGGTTAGAACCTATGGTGCATTGAATGGATATAATGTGAATTTTACGGTGAACGAGGAGAGGCGAGTACAAGGTGTGTGCAAAGTTGGGTGTAAATGGATAATAAGAGCTTTCTCGTTTGACGACATTGACACATTATAGGTGAAATCATACATATCAGACCATACATGTAGTCGGGACCAGTTTAATAGACACTGCAACTACAAGTTCTTGACACGTTGTTACCTGGAGTAGTTCAAAGTGGACCCCGACTGGAAAACGGAGCTAATTTTAGCGACAGTTAAAAAGGACCTACACATAGACATAAGTAGAAATGTTGCGTGGAAGATTAAAAGATATGCTAGAGAAGTATTAGTCGGGACTATGCAAGACTAGTTCGAACGATTGAGTTCTTATGCTGCCGAGGTACTTCGAACAAATGCTGGTTCTACTGTCATCATAGCTTTACAGGAACAAGTGTTTCAGGGGATGTATGTATGCTTCAATGGTTGTAAGATGGGCTTTAGAAATTGTTGTACGAGGGTGGTTGGCATTGATGGTTGCCACTTACGAGGTTGCTTTGGAGGAATTTTGCTGACTACTGTTGGCCTAGACGGTAACGATTGCATCTACCCTATTTCTTATGCGGTTCTTCAAAAGGAAAACACGCCGACTTGGCGATGATTTATGACTTATCTTGCGGAGGATATTGAAATTGAAAATGGCAGAGGGTGGACATTGATGACAAATAGGCAGAAAGGTCTGCAAAACGTGACAAATGAGTTGTTTGCTGAGGCCGAGCATCGATTTTGTGTACGACACACGTACACAAATTTTTTCAGTGCGGGTTTCAAGTGAAAGACTCTAAAAAATTATCTTTGGCGGGCTGTAAAGTCGACCACTATCCCTGACTATAAACATTGGATGCAGCAAATCCGCAACATTAGTGAGGACGCATATAAATGGTTAATGGAGAGTCCTCCTTAAGAATGGACTAGATCACACTTCTCTCTCCATTCAAAAAGTGATATATTATTGAATAACATATGCAAAGTATTCAACAAGACCTTGAGGAGTGATAGGGAGAAGATGCTCACTTCAATGCAATTGGTCTTCATGACAAGAATTAGAAAGCGTCGAGACACGATGATGAGGTGCAATAGTAGGTTGTGTCCAAAAATTAGAAAAAATCTTAACAAGAACGCTGACCACTCACATGAGTGCACCTTACACATATCTGGCAAGCCCAAATGGCAAGCAGATTGTAGCTCTGGCACATATGTCGTCGATCTACTAGAACGAAGTTGTGCATGTAGGGAGTGGGAGTTTACTGGCATACCATGCATGCATGTAGTTGCAGTGATAAGAGAATGTAGGAACGATCCAGAAGAATATGTTGGCAATTTCTATTCAGTTGAAACATACATGCGGTGCTATGATAGCGTCCTCAACCCAATTAACGGGATGAAATTATGGCCGGAGTTGGACAGGGCTGCTATCATTCCCCGATCATGGGTTGTTCTACGAAAAGGAAAGAGGCAAAAAAATGGAAGGAATGGTGCAGACGAAGATGTGGTAGTGCATTCACAGGAGAAAACATACATGAGAAAAAAAGGATGATTAAAGATGACTTGTTCAGAATGAGGACTGCGTGGTCACAATAAGCGATACCATTCTAGGCCAGATGCTCTATTAGATGCGAGTGCCAATAGTCCATTTAAAATTTCGAATGGAATATATCAGCATCTGACTATATTTTCATTTCCACAGGATTGGTTCGAAGGCAACTTGGAACCTGTTGACACATAGTGTAACACACACGTGCATGGCAGAGTACGTGAAATAGTTTTTCGTGATATAATGTAGTATTTGTTTTGAGATTGTCGCATTTAATATAGTTAACCATTTGAAATGTAATGGTAGGGTAAAATGGTTGCCATTGGTGGAAATGGTTCATATTCAGTAGGTAACACCACAAGGTAAAAGTTCTTTTTATTTTATACCGACACCAATGGTTACACGTGAAGCGGGAAGGGATCGTATTGCACTCGGTCCGACAATGACGATGCCTATTAGTGATGAATATGAAGCCGGTCAGCCTGTAGCGGATACTGTGGCAACTGTGGAAGTAAACTTCGAAAAAATGGGTGACAAGAACTGCGAGAGGGCATAGAAACGTGATGGCAAGAAGCGAAAGTGATAGAAATCTGTAAATTTGTTTTGAATTGGACACATGAACATGAACCAAATGTCTATTTTGCTAAATCTGTAAACGTATGTGGATAACAACCTAGTGATGTAATATTCTATTTTGCTATATATGTACGTGGATTCTTTATGTTCTTGTGTCGGTTATGGTTAATATTATTCTAAATTCCTTGTCTTCTTCATATAGTTCGTTTTGGTTATTAGTGAGGAATGATGTCCTTGGTTCGTTATAAATATTTTTCTTTTTGGCCGGGATGGACTCCTTCAATTGAATGATTGTTCTAAAAGAGCTTGGTCTTGCATTTGCTAGAATATATTCTCTTGAAGATTTGGACATGACAAGTGGTGGTATGGCAAGATTACTTGATAAAACCATTATGCACAGAAATTAATTGGAAATTAATTGTAAAATTAGAAAACTACAAAAATTAGAAATGGAAAAAAGACTGTTACTCTTGTATGTACATGTTACACAACTCAAAAGAATATAAAACTAAAA